AAGCTTGAAATTTAGCTTGTTATGACGGGAATGATGAGCTCTTTAAGTTTTTCTAAGTTCAGAGAGTGTGTTTAGATGGCTGTTTTAGAGTTATTAAGAGAAGTGTAAGAAAAAGGGCCAGATGGCCATTTCTCAATAGTTTTAAAAGTTTTTAGTTTAATATTTAAGTATTATATGCATTTTTTGGTTAAGAATAAGTTTTTTAGTAGCAAAACTAAGGTTAACTTAGTAGAAAATAAAGATATAAGATATTTTTAAAATAATTAAGCTGAGAAAATTTGTGTACGGGTGATAGACAGAAAGAGTTTTTGTGTTGAATCTGTTAGTAAGGGTGTGTTTATGTTAGATAGATTTTTATATTGGTAAAATATTGGGTTGTTTCTTTTCAGCCAATTACTTGTATCAGAAAGTGTTTTATGATACCAATGTACTGGCTCATTTGGGTTTAAAAAAGTACTGACCATTCCTGAGTATAGTTTGAGCACATAGTAATTCTTATTCAAAAAAAAGTCATCTCATAAAAAATAATACGTTGTATAAGGGTTTGATCCTGGTGCTCATCTCAATGAACATGTCATATAAACTGGTAAAAGTTATTTTCTATAGTTTATTTATACTTGACTTAATTCTTGAGATATATTAGGTAAAATAGGTAGAAATTTTCTGGTTTTTGGTTTTTTACAACTTCTACAAATAGCTATTTTAGTTGGTTTGTTTGTGAATTGATGAAGGTGAGTAGGTATATTCAAGAATGATATGGGTAAAGTATAATCTTCATTTGGATCATATGTTATCCATTGGGTTGCATGGTGAAACATTAATATGGAGCAATAGCAATATGGTATATAAGGTTGATTATTTAAGATTTTAGTTTCAACCTTATAAAGAAGTTTGTTTAATGTATTAGAAGGTCTCCAGGGTGGGAAAATTGAAAATGGATTCGTGGTGAGCTATTTTGCGATGGTAGATTTTGATTGTTTACTTCAAATTAATTTATTTCATTATGATAAATATAGGGTAGAAAAGTGTTAATGTTTTCTGTATTCGAATTTTCTTCTGAGTTTAATGAATCAGTTCTCTCATATTCATGAATTGAGAAATGTTGAATTGAGTAGTTTAAATTTCTTTTCATTTTTTTTTTAAAAAAAAATTAGATGAAATTCTAGTAAAGCATTATGTTTATTTATTTATTTATTTTAATGTTGATGTCTTTTGTAAAGTTTTTTTTTTTTTTATGGACATAAGCAACTTTTTATATATTTTGAAGGTTCTGGTCAATAATTTATTTGTTCTTGTTAACAATTATGCTTATTTAAGCATTTTATATATTTTGTTTTCATGTGTATATAAATTTATTTAAACATTCAACAATAAGGCATATGTATTTAAGTTTCTAATTTTATTATACAGTGTGGACAACCTAGTCCCAACCAATATAATTGATGAAATTCAAATTGCTAATCCTTTTTTTAAAAAAATAGTAAAAAAAATATACTATCTTAAAATGCTAAATTAAAACAAGCTAAACACTTTTACGTTCTTAAATTTTTTATAAATCTATTTATAAAAAAGTTATAGCAAGTTGAAGTTATAGTATTTTTATAATTAAAGATAAAATTTGGCCACCTTTTTTATATATAAAAAAAGCAAATTTGGCCACTTTATATAAATTAAAATTTAAATTTGGCCACTTTATATATATTAAAATTTTAAATTTGGCCACTTTATATATAAATATTAGCTAAATTTTCAAATTGGCCTCTTTATATATATATAAAATAAGATCTGAATTTGGCCGTTGGGACTAGGTTGTCCGCACTGTATTATAATTTATTTAAATTATTAATTTATTTTTATTTATTTATTTATTTTTAAGATTTAGAAATCTTAATTATTTATTATTAATGTGATGTAAATAACACATTCGGACTAATTAATCAAAAATAATAATATTAAAAAAATTCATATATTATATTAAAATTTTTTTCTTTTTCTTATAGATTGTTTAGAAGCTACTGGTGGCTTTTCATTACTTCTACTTCTTCCTCAGAATTATCTGATTTTTCTTCATTCAAGTATTGGTTATCTGAACAATTTTCAACTTGTGTATATATGTGCTTCACAGGATTTTTATCTATTTGTAGTTTATTAATAATATTTTTATGCACTTCTTTTTGAACTTCATCATGTACTTTATTTTGTTTTTCATTTTGCATTTTAACTGTAGCACTTTTATTTCCTAGGTTTTAAATTTTATGTTTAAATAATTAATTCTATTGTAAAAATATTTCAATAAAAGTTATGAATTTTTTTTTTGAAAAAAGAAACTTATACTTGTCTTTATATATCTCTAATTTCATTTACAGCAGATCTCATCCTATTTGCCCTTGAGAAACTCTCTTCTTGGGGATCTGTAATAGTTTCTTCCTTCTTTATGTAGAACTGTTTTTTGTTTGTTAGTGCTTCAAATCTTTTTGCAAATTTTTCTAATCCTTTATTTCTATATTTTTCACTACTATTTTTCGACATTTCTTGGTTGAGTAAGTCCACTCTATAACTTCGTATAAGATACACACACTTTTTTTCAAGGTTACTAGTTCCCCTGTAACTGAGAATATGAGAAGTTTTTTTGTAGCTTCTGCTATGTTGGTATGTCTTCCTTTGAGATTAGGATCATACTTATACAAAATGGGCATTATTACCTGAGATAATGTTATACCATTATAGGCTTCTCACTTAAGCCAAAAATATACATCTCTATCTTGGGTGCTAGGCTCCTGAACTTGGGCAGTGAAAATTCCAAACACAGGTAATACAGGAAGGTTATACATAGTTGGAAATTTGTCTATTGTTTGAATTTGAAGAGGAGTATGTTGCTAGATTGTAACCTTTAATAGTAATTAAGTATGAAAATTGGGTTAAAAGTGAAGTTTATTAATTATTTTTTTATTTATTTTATTTTATTTTTTTTTGTTACATTAAGCTCTTTTTCATTGGGAATGTAAACAAATCTGCCTATAATCATTAAAATACTTCTTTTTTCTATTCCTTCTACTAATATAGTTTTGTTGAACCTAAAAGCTTTGAATTTGTATTCAACAAATTCATTGTTTTCAGTTCTATATACAGCACTTCTGCTGCATAATTTATTACCACTAATGTTTTTTATAAAAGAAATTGCACAGAAAATTGATGACATTTTTATTTTTTGTTTTTTTTTTTAGATATGTTTTGGTTTATTTTATGTTTTTTTTTTGTTTTTTTGAAAAACAAATTTATATCGAAGTTAAGAATTTTTTTAATCTTTAAATATATTTTTTTTTGCTATTCGGATTTGGACCAAGAAGATTCGCTTTTGGAATTTTCAATTTATAACCAATTTTCAAAAATATGACTCTATATTTAAAAATTATATTATTCAACCTCTTTATTATGTTATTTTATTTTCACAATCATATTGCTTATTAAATTAACATGAGTTACTATTAAAAAAGTCTTACTTGTTATTTAATAATTCATAATTAAGATGAATATTGGTTTTCAAAATGAGTATTGCAAAGAAAAAACCTGGAATTATTTCAAAAAATAAAATTTAGATTTCACTTTGCAGCATTTATATAATAAATAAATGACAACTGAATCACAATACTACAATACAATACAATATATCATATATGTGACTATAAATATTATAGCTATAATGTAATTATGATAGTTCCTTGATTTGAAATATATATTGATTATTAATTTTAGATAAATTGTAAATATATAAAGACTTTAATTTAAAGATTGATTGCAATTAATAAATATCAAAACAATTACAAATTGGGGTTTGCTAAATATCACCGCAGGTGATTTTCACCGCAGATCACATGATTTTTTTAAAACTTTTAGCGATGATTTCTCAATAAACACTTAATCAAATTTAGTAAAATTTTTTTTATTTTAATTCTATAAGTTGCTAGAATTAAAATAAAAAAATTCATTGAATTTGGTTTAGTAGTTGTTAGGATATCACTGTTAAAAGTTTTATAAAAACTTCAAATATCTTTGAAAAAATCAGGTAATATTTTCTTTCTTTTAACTTTAACCAAGGATTTCTTGACTACCAACTATTCGAATTTAATAAAAGTTTTTTATTTTAATTCTGTAAATTTATAGAATTAAAATTAAAAAAAATTATCAATTTAAAAATTAAAAGTAATTTGGCCATAGCTTCTTTTTTAAAGACATCTAAATTTGAACAAAGGATTACTCAACAGCCAACTATCTGAATTTAATATAATTTTTTTTATTTTAATTATATGGCTTCATGTGATTAAAATAAAAAAAAATTGATTTAATTCAAATAGCTAGTTATCGAGAAATATTCATTAAAAGTTTGGATATCTAAAAAAAGAAAGCTGTAGCCAAATATTTTTTTATCTTTAATGAATATTTCTCAACAACTAGCCATTCAAATTCTATAAATTCACAGAATTAATATAAAAAGAGTTTCATTAAATTCAGTTAATTGACTATTAAGTAATATTTATTTAAAGTTCAAAGAAAGAAAAGCTAAATCGATTTTTTTTTAAACTACTAAAAATTCTACTATTAAATTATTTGCCAAATCGATTCTAATATATTTTGACTTAGATATATGTATATACTCAACTAGTTGGTACTATAAAGTACTATATTTAATAAATTATATGTTAGCTACTAAATACAGTACATACTTTATAATATTAGTGCAAACAAATTTAAATAATATTTTTAAATAATACACATACACTGTAATAAATACAGTATTAATACTAATCGAACACAATTATAAAATTATAGCAAAAGACACAATTTCAATGATATTTGTAAGTTTTATACAATTAAATGAATTGCATATATTATAAATACCTCAAGATATAAGCATTAATCATCAATTACTAATATCTTTCTTAAGTTCACAGGTACAAGAATTATGTCCAACGCTTTTACAGTGACTACATATATATTTATTATTTTTTTTCTCTACTAAATTATAGTGAAAAAATTCATCATAGTTATTTTGTACTTCAAAACGTTGGCTTACTTCATCAAATTGCTTATTATCTTTATAATTCGATTTCTTTGCTCTTTATAAGAATTAAAATTAATAAAAAACTTAGTTCTAATAAATGAACATAATAAATTAAATTACTTTCCCGAAGCTTTCTACAGTAATGCAAGTTTTATCTTTACTATAAGATCTAGAACTTTCAATTGCACTTTTAATCCGCTTTTTAGATACACCTTTTGTATTTGTTAAATACGGATTGCTTATATTTAACAAATTCTCTTTGTCAAACTTATTTAAATTACAATTGACCTCTTTTTCTATTTCTTTAATCTATTCTTGTAAAAGTTTATTTAACTTGTCTTCGCGACCAGTTTCAAGTGCTAGATCAATTGCCTTTTTTGAATAACCAAATCCCTAATTACAGTATATTTTACTTTACGATTCAAATTGTGTTTGACAGTTTCTGAAAGTATTTGTATATGCCGAATCTCATTAAGAAAGCTATAGTCTATTTTAATTTGATGCTCATAAACAGGCATATTACTATCAATTAAATGCTTTTTGCTAATGATTGTAATTGCTACTTCATTTTAAGAATTTAATATTATTTTCTTATACCATCGAGCTGGAATGAGACCAATATAAAACATGGCCTTATTAGAACTAAGCATTACAGAAAAAAAATGCCAGCAAATAAGCCCTTTTGTTATGAGATTTATACAGGTGCACAAATGATTAGCATTTTATAAATTACTATAAAATGTTCTTTGTTTTGTTCAATAGTTATTATATGCCAAACTTCCTGAATAGTAGATCGATTAATGCATTTAATTAATAAATCTAAATTTGTTATAACAGATTTATAATTATTTTCAGCAAATTTCGCATTATCTATTGCTTCTATTGATTCAGAAGAAACTTGATTTTTATTAACTTGATTTTTATGACTAATTAAGCTATTCCAATTTTCAATTTTTTGAACACGAAATAATAAACTTTCATTCATTTGACGATGTTGCATTTTAAATACTCGTGGAGTAAGATAATTCTTAAGAGTTACATTAATTTGACTAAAATATCATTAGGTAATCCAACAGTTGGACATTGATTAATTTGCTTATTTTATTCAAATTGTTCTTTTTTATCAAGCTGTAGCTGAATTTGTTCATCTAATTCATATAATGTTGTTGAAGTTTTAATTGATCGTTTGATTAACGAATTGTAACTATTAACACATTGTGTTGTTTGAATTCTACTATTAAAAGACCTATGGGTATAACATAAAGCCCAACTAGTAACATCCATGTCTAGAGCATGTTCAAGATACTTTCATGCTTTTGAATATTTATTAAGCAAATCAAACTATTGTTTTTTAAACTCAAACTTTGAAAAACTATTACAACACATATTCCACATTGCTATAAAATCGGAATACTTCTCTTGAAGTTCTCTTTTTAGGTTTTTTTCAAGATTTTTATGTATATGCTATATACAGTAATTATGTTTTATAGAGAGAAGAGTTTTGTGAACAGCTGCAATCATGCCAGAATCTGCATCAGTAAATAATACTTCTAGAGCAAGACCACCAGTAGCATGCAACAAGCACTGCAGAATCCATTGGTAGATTTTTTTTGTTTCATTAGATACAACTGCTATTGCAGCCATTTAAGATCGTGTATGATATTTGTATAAGATGTATTGTCATTAATTGCAACATTATAAAGCTTTTGCCATAAATTAATTTGCGATGGCCTCATCCAAAACAATCCAGTTAAATGGTTGTCCTCTCCTTCTAATCTTGCTTCAACAAACCAGCCATGTTCTTCATGTTGTAATTGTATTAGCTTTTCATATGTTTCAGCAACATCAGTCTTTACCAATTCTTTGTTATGTCAAAAGTGACTAATTGCAATATATATAGTTTTTGGATTAATTATAGTATTAGAAAAACGTTTTTGAAGTTCATGAATAATTAGCCCAGCATTACAACCAATCTTCACTAGAAATTTAATTTCTTCAAGCATTTCAGAACTAAGACGACATGATTTTGATTTTATATTTTGTATACCGTTAGACAATAAATGATTATGTTTTTGGGTCATTGAAGTAACATGTATTTCATTATTAGAAAAACACAATTAACTTTCCATGACAGCCAATTTTGGCACTTTTATGTTTTTGATTGTCTTCTGTATCTGCCTTTTTTTTTGTATGGTATTCACTAGAATGCTTATATTCAAAAGTACAATGGACAATTTAACCACTCTTGTTTCTTTGAAGCTGATGCTTTACAACTTCAAACTCATTCTCTGTTGCAAATTTCTCAACATGCTCTATAGTCGAATCTCAATTTTCGAATGTGTCACCTAGTAGTAAAAATTTTAACTTTTAGACAAACAAATATTACACTATAGTAAAATTATAAACTCATATAGACAAATACCTATTTCAAGGCTAAATATTTTCTGACCTGCTAGACTTTCACTATCTGTATTCATATCCATATCTGTATTCACATCTATACTTATATCCACCATATTTGCATCTATATTTGTACCCATATTTGCAACTATATTTGTACTCATATTTGCACCTAAATTCATATCTTTATATGATATGCTGGCATTATTTTCAAATTCTATTTGGAGATCATTAATATTTGTTTCCTTCTCTTCTTCTGAAACATAAACTCTCAAAAAGGAACTTTCGTATGTACTTTGACTCATTTTTTTAAAAAAACAAAATGATGTATTACTTATTTAATGATTTTTTTTCTTTTTTTTAAAGCAAAACAAATGTTATTAATTTTTTTTTTCTTTTTTCTTAAAGCAAAATGAATATTATAAATTTTTTTGTCTTTTTTTTTTTTAAGCAGAAAGAATGTGTTACTTATTAATAAGTTTTTCTTAGTTTCAAACTTTAGATGCATGAGTATTTTGTTTTATTATTATAGTAACTGCTTGATGTGTGTTAATTAATGTCTATGTATTTAAAATTTACTCAAGATTAGTGCTTTCTTCTTTAATCGCCTTTTCTTTCACTTTTCTGATATAAACACCTCAACTCCTTTACAGACAACCCCTACAAACATATATGCACAAAGTAGTACAGCTCTCTTTACCAGATACCAGCTTTATGTAAAAAAATTTTAAGTATAAGTTCGATCTTTGAGCCTTTTATATATATTTTTTTTATATGCACGATTATATCATTTATCTGTCAGAATAGACTTTAAATTACATTCATGTTGATAAACTTTTAGATTGCACAACTTTATTATTATCAACTATCGCTAGCTACTAATTATAAGTGCCCCTACTCAACCTAAGAGAAATATCTATTAAAAACTTTGAACAAATATTAATTGGCACTTATCTGGTCAAAATTGATCAATTTTTTTTATTTTAATTTAGCAAGCATATAGAATTAAAAAAAAAAATTGATCTAATTTGACCAGGTAAGTGCTGTGTAATTGTCAACCAAAGTTTAGATGTCTTTAAAGCAGTCAAATTTTTTTAAATTTTAATAAATATTTCTCAATAACTAGCTATTTGAATTAAATCAATTTTTTTTATTTTAATCACATGAAGCCATATAATTAAAATAAAAAAATTTACATTAAATTCAGATAGTTGGCTGTTAAGTAATCTTTCGTTCAAATTTAGATGTCTTTAAAAAAGAAGCTGCAGCCAAATTACTTTAACTTTTAATAAATGCTTCTCAACAACTAGCTGTTCAAATTGATAATTTTTTTTAATTTTAATTCTATAAATTCACAGAATTAAAATAAAAAAACTTTTATTAAATTCGAATAGTTGGTAGTCAAGAAATCCTTGGTTAAAGTTTAAAGAAAGAAAATATTACCTGATTTATTCGAAAATATTTGAAGTTTTTATAAACCTTTCAGCAGTGATATCCTAACAAACTACTAAACCAAATTCAATAAATTTTTTTTTATTTTAATTCTAGCAACTTATAGAATTAAAATAAAAAAAAAATTACTAAATTTGATTAAGTGGTTATTGAGAAATCATCGCTAGAAGTTTTAAAAAAATCATGTGATCTGTGGTGAAAATCACCTGCAGTGATATTTAGCAAACCCCTTACAAATTTAACAATTATACATATAATCATGATAATATTGTAATAATTATTTAACCATATACATAATATATGACAAGCATTATTGCTATGTAATAAATAATTCACAGATGAATATTCAAAAAAAATCAATAAGACTTGTCTACTAACATAGCATCTACATAATTCATCTCACAGCATGATTAATAACTATTACTTTATTTTGCTTTAACTAGAAATTGCACATGCAGGTGGCTTTGCCACCTGTTTTAATAGTTGTGTATACAGAACAAAGTTTAATTGTATGACAGTAATTTGGATACTGCTGATAAATTAATAGTTTTCATATTTTTAAATTAATTCGAATAAATGGGAAACATTATTTGATAGTAAAGATCTATGAACTTAAATAATTTATTCAAATACCTTAATTTATAAATTATTTTTTACTAAATTATTATAAAATAAAATTAAAAATAAATTAATATTTCTCTACTACCTACATAGTAAAATTATATAAAATGAATTCAAGTATCTTGATGCCTAAATACCTTATCTATTTAATTAGTATAAACAAAACAAAGTTAATCAAGTTGTTCAAGGTTATATAATTATAAATTTAATAAATTAGAATCTTCTTGAATTAATTTAGATAAAATAAATACTTAATTAAGTGAAATAAATATTTGATAATTAATATAAATAGGTTTATATTCTTGTGTAGAACTCTAGATTTTTAATATATAATAAATTATGAATCATTTCCTATCAACTTACTTACAATTAATTCACAGACAATGATTATTTTACAAACAATTAATTTAAAGACAAGTTAATTTAATAAATAATTTATTTGCAGACAAGTTAATTTCATAGACTGTATAATTTAACAACAGTTCATTACACAAATTTTTTTTAATAAATTGTACTAATCTTAAAGATTTACTGTATTTCAATAACAATGACCAGAATTAATTTGCTAGTGAAATGAGCTGTTGGTAAAATATACTGTCTATGAAATGAATTTGTTTGTGAATTAATCATTAAGAAAATAAACTTAATTTTTGTAACTTAAATTGTCTATGAAGTGATTATCAGTGAAATAATATAGACAATAATGAATAATGAATATTAATAATCAGTAAATAAATATTTGTAAAATATTTGGAGCTGATTTAATGGCTCATAACTTCTTACAGATAATTGATTTACCTATTGATTTATACTACTATAACAATATTTTTTTTACTTACAATAAAATAATTCATAACAACCAGCTTCTCCTATTATTAACTAAATCTAAATAGCGAAATAAAATAATAACTCTGATGAAAAGCGATGAAACTAATAAAAAGCGACAAAATTATAAAAAGTAACAAACCTGAAAAAGGTGTAGAACTGACACAATGTACAAAACTGGCAAAGAGTGCAAATATAAAAATGACAAAAAATAACAAATTGATGTATTTAAAATATGTGCCAGGTTTATGCAATACTAAAACTGCTACATGTTGGCCATAAATTTGTCTCATGAGTCAAATTATTTATTTGTATAAGATAAATTGAGGTTTTAAAATAGGATTTAGAAAATAAAAATCAACTATTTCTTTTAGCCTTATTGTATAATACAAATTACATATTTGCTTAGATTTGGCTATATGAAAATTAAATGAATTAAATATCAATAAATCATTCAATAAGAATTAATAAATAAAGTCATATACACAGGTTATAAATATTTGCAATGGCATCCTAGCAACAATAAATAACCTTTGGTGAATAAAAAAAAAAATTAAGAATCTTTTGCTATGAACTTTAATAATCACTGATTATCTATTCGTCAAACTGGCTAAAAATCCAAATGAAAAAAAAAAGAAAAAGCAACAAAATTAGAGTATAAATAATGAAAATGCTTATAATAATAAAAAAATAAATAAATTGATAATAATTTCACAATCAGCACTATTTTTTTTTCTTCTAGCATGAGTTGAAATTGAATTAAAATTGAATTGAATTGAAATTGAATTGAAATTTGAAATTGATATAATAGTTAGAAAAACAGTATCCTTCCTAGGGATTGTAAGGAAATTTTTTATGTTGTTCTCTGCATGATAGTAATACAAAACACTATAAATATCATAAACAGCAAAAAAATATATTGTATATAATAAAATATGGCATGGATAAGCAAACCAAAATTATAAAGGGCTAATAAAGTGATTAGAGCAATAAAATGAAATGTCAATTGCTATGCTAACAAAAAAGATGAATCATGTGGAAGCTATGTCGGCATAAATAAAAAATACACAAAACAATAAATAATAATCTTAATCAAAAAAATTATAAATACAACCAAAATATGATAAAAAATTTTTGGGGCATTATCAGTATCATTATTAGTATTAAATAGTTCGATAAATCTATCTGATATATCTATATCTGATATATATATCTATGATATATCTATATCTGATATATTATATAAAACAAAAAAAAACTGCACACATGTGATATAATTGTTGGATGCATTCTAGGCTTATAGCACTAGATATTCAAACTTCATCAGGAAATTTTTTTTTATTGCAGTTCTGTGCAGATTTGCAAAAAAATTAAATAATAAATCAAATGAAAATCTGTGCAAACCTTCAAATTTGATGCTACAAATGCAGAAATTAGATGCAATTCTGTGCAAAACTTCAAATTCTAAAAATTTTGCAGATTTTTACAACAATTCTTCAAAAATCTGCAAAAATACAGATTTTTGCAAATTTGCACTTATTTAATTTTCCCGATGTTTATTAAAGAGATATATAGCATACATCAGTGCGTTTGATGTATAATTGAAGAGGGATATATAGCTTACATCAGTGAGTTTGATGTATAATTGAAAGAGATATATAGCATACATTAGTGCGATTGATGTATAATTAATAGAGATATATAGCATACATCAGTATGTTTAATATACAATTGGCTTTAGCCAGTGATTTCCTGCCAGCATAAATGCTGACTAGCTATTAGCCAGAAACTTTTAAGTCACATGATTTTGGCTGGTAGTTTCCCGCCTGCATAATGCAAGCTGGCTGTAAAGAGACATTTAGGCTACCATAAAATGGCAGGATTCTATGTGGATTCCAAAAGATTAGAACAGTAGAATTCTGCCATTTCGATCAGCTTGTACACAGTTTGATTTTCTTTTAATTTTTTTTTTCTAGTGTTGGTAGCATAGCTCTATTGTACGTTGATAGTGTCTTGAATGTGTGTAGCTATCCAATTTGTGCAGAGTTGTTATTGAACAATGTCCAAATAAATTTAATTGGATTTTTGGACATTTGGACATTTGGACTATGTCTAATTTGTCCAATTTATTCAAATTTTTTTTTGGGCCGTTAGATATTGGACAATGCCCAAAAGTTTATAAAATTAATTGGACATATGTCAAATTGCTTAATTGGACATATCTCCAATTGTCCTTATTGAAAATTTTTTGTATATACGAATATCAAGTTGTGTTGTATTCATATTAATAATTAGTGCCATAATTTAAACTGCAAGATGTAATAATGTAATAATTATTTATTACAAAAAGTAATAATGTAATAATATTTATTATAAGTAATAATATTTTAATATGCAATAATTATTATTACAAGCAATAATTATTATTACAAGTAATAATTATTATTACAAGTAATATTTATTATTACAAATAAAAGCTTTTAATAATAATATTACATATAATAATATTATTATTATAAAAAATTTTTCTGTCCAAAGAAAAATTTATGTCCAATTAAATTATTTGAACAATTGGACATTGTCCAAATGTCCAATTGTCCAAATTGTCCAAATGTCCAATATTTTGACATCACATCTCTGAATTTGTGGGTGATTTATTCTATGATGATCAGGTTCTAAAGTTTAAATAACGATCGTTAATCAGAATATGTTCAAATAAGTCTCAACCACTATAAAGGGCATGTTATGCGAACATATTGTGAAACAGCTATTTCCAAGCTTTGGGCTAATGGTAGCTATATATCTTGGGATAGTAATATTATTGTGTCCCCGGCAAAGGTATGGCCACCACCTTGGCATTTGGTGGGTATGATTTGAGGTTATTATTATCTAGCTTTTGATGACTGAGCTCCAGTAACCTTAATAAGGTACTTTTCTTATAGTGTATAGTGTTTCTGTAGACATTCCAAGTCATTAATTGACCAATTCTTTGTGGCTGCATTGCCATTGAGCTTGATGGTTAATATGTTTTGCCCTAAAGTGTGTGTTGGATCTGTCCCGCAGATTACATATACTCTTAATGCCTTAGTCAGATATAAGTTATCTTTTTTATTTTTTTACTAGTTTATTATTGAAATGATGTTTTGTCAGTTTATAGCTTTTTTTTTTTTCTTTCTTTCTTTCTTTCTTTTTGGTTCTGGTAATAGAATTGTTGCGAAGATGTTGTTATTCGTTTTGTTGAACTTTGAGACTCGTGTTGGGATCTGACTTTTTGATATTTTGTTAGGAGTCAGGTGAAAACTTGCTCAGTCAGCAGCCATTGAATGCTACTAGTATAACTGATTCATAAATCTGGGCTCTCTATGTTTCTCAGATAAGATTTTATACTTTGTAGGTTTGTTTGTTTCGACTAGATGCTCTGGTGATTTTAATTTTATGAGGTTTTTTAATTGTTGCCTTGAAGAAAAACCTTTACAAGTCCAATTGGCCTTAATATATTTTTTAGATAATCTCAATAAATTATAGTTATTGTATGGGTATGTGGTAAATAACCCAGTTACACACGGGTTCATATTCCGTGCCGAAGGCACGGATTTAAATATGAACCCGTGTGTGTAACTGGGTTATTCAACATACCAATACAATAACTATCTTATTGCACGGTGTCTGACGTAACAACCCCGTGCCAATAAGTAAATGTAAAAAGCACGGGTTGTCACATAAGACCCGTGCAATAAGCAAGATTACAGTATGACTAGCACCATTCTAATAATATCACTTTACGGTAGTAAAACTATGTAATTTGTACAATTTAGGAATTTTAGGACATCCAAAAATAAAACTTTTTATTTTAGAATAATCCGAAATCAACTTTACAAATTTGAGATTAACTTTTGAGATCGAGCGTTATCATTTCACATAATTATGCATGTATTTGGATTTCTAATATTTCTCGACAACCACTTTCCAGACAAATAAAATCCATATCTAACGCTAAACTAATGCGGACTAACTTGTCAAGATTTTGTTTGTCGAGAAAATGATAGGATCCGTATGCATTTAATAGTGTGACTACCAAAACCATACAATTTTAACTTAACTAATAAAGAAGTGCATACTTTAACATACTTGTTGGTTTAAATTATCCCAAATTAGTGAGAAGTGGCAGATAATTTATAATTTTACCATGATATAATAACTTAAGGAGCAGCAAAAATTTTGGCATATTTTTAGACTATACAGCTATACATAGATAATTTTATATAAATATAAAGGAGTAGCTTATTTCAAATACACCTATTATTATGGGCATCAACTAAATAATGAAATAAGAAATCAACCTATTTTTCGCAACGACTGAAATAAAAGATATAGGGTCCGGAGGGCCCTCACGTAACCGGAGATCTGGTACTATTCCTCATTTTACTTGATCTACAAATTTCATAAATTATCACTCTATGATTCCCGATACAGTTTAGATTTGATTAATTAGAATGTCTACGTTACATGTGCTAAAAAAGTGTCATTCTGTCTATTTTTTGTCTAACTTTTGTTTTAATTGAAATAAACCAAAAAAATTAGACAAAAAATTAGACAGAATGGCACTTTTTTTGGACATTTTTACATGCATAACACAAATTTTAGACAAATTTTATACAATCCTTTTTTATAGGGCAAAGTCGACATTAAAATACGGCTATTGTGATTTGCAAGGATATTTCGCTATATATATATTTAAACATTTCATTAAAAATCAACAGTATCTAGCGATGACCACAACGTTCAGACTTCGAATTCGTCAACTAAAACGAAACCTCATTTTATTATTTATCTTTTTAATTTTTTGGCCATATATT